CCCATAGCTTAGAAAATCTATCCCTCCTAGGAAATTTGGCAATCACGTGCGCGTACACCGACCACCCGACCTTTTGTCCGTCCGCACCACAGGCATACCAATGTTTAATCTCACACTTTCTAGCTAGTTTGCCTAAGTTTGGGAGCCTGCAACCTGATATTGCACATGCATGTTTTGATTAATTGACAGCTGTCAAAATAGTGTTTCTGCTGACCAGTATCGCCTGACCATATCGCGGGCTCAGGTATCGACCCACTGAGTTCGAGTGTTTTTTTTAAGGTATCCGCTGACAAGTTGCTACTTTTCAAATGACCGCAGGCTCAAGTTCAATTTTTTTAAAATGCATATGAAATAAGTCGTGTTCATGAGCCGCACTTTTAAAATGGTGATTTCGAACTGACCTCGGACGCGAAAATTCAACTGTCTTTTACATTTACATGCAGGGAAGGCAATTTCTTACTGTCACGCGTTGATCACGCTCTACGTCCAATTTTTATGTTCTGATTGGTCAAAATTTGACAGGTGAGTTCATGCGGAAAATTTATGCAGCATCTGGTAACTTGCTTACTGATAACTGGAGCTGACAGAGTTTTGTGTCATCTTGTGATGTTTTAAACTGTCTTTTCACTTGCTGTACAAAATGAAATACAGCTGCTATCAAGATTGTTCTGTAATTCATGGCTGGTTTGTTTATTGCGCTTTTTGTTGACAAATGCACCGCTTGTGAAAGTCATTGGAAATCCGATTTCGGATGGCATCGTTTTAAAAAACGAGCTTACTTCAATACTTCTCTTCGTGAATGAAAATTATTGTCTCTGTACATGTTCCACCGAATTATATTTATTTTATTGATTGTTTGTAGTCCCTCTCGCAATTTTTATCGCTGCACCGGTTGTTTTCAGTCGAACATAAGCTAACATATACATCGCATGCAGGAATACTTAAAACACCGCGCGTAAATATCACTGGCTTTTAAAGATTACACATAACAAAACCATACACAGTTTAATAAATAAAGGGAAATAAAACCTAAACATAACTATTTCTCTATCATGTTGAAGCGTAAATGGTAACTCTATTAATCGCACTACAAATTTGGCTGGCCGAAAAGTGATTTTGCGAATTTTTTTTCATCGTTTTCATTAGAAGCCCATAATTATTACCCTGCATATCACATAGGACCAGATTTTTCTAACTGAAAAGTCCCGGCATTATAGAATTCTCTTCATGAAAACGTTTTATAATTCAATGCTACAATTTGTTGTGCAAAGGAAGCGCGTGCTTTAATCGTCGTGGATATATTGAATGAGTGCAAATTCTCTCGCAAAATTGTGAAAAACTGCAGAATTATAGGTTTAAATAGGGCAAAAAAGAACAAATTCTGTCCGAGGTCTGTATGATAAAAAAGGGCCTCATAGTACTGTTTACCTGAGACGTGATGACAAAAAGTATGTTTAAAAGGCTGGTTTACGCGCCACCTGATTCGTCGCCAAGATTTACTAGTAACCTAAACTTGCCGAACACAAAAAATCCGACCTGATTTTTATTTTGGCCTCTCTTTTAGAAAGAGGAATGCAACGTGTAAATTGGCTGCCACCAAGGACTATCGTGGCGCGTGTGTTTCTTAACATTATATTATTATCCATAGTCTCCCTAACGGAGCAATGTTGGAGAGACAGGTGAATACCACATTATGATGCAACAGCTAATGCAAATACAATACTCGAATAGGTCTATTTGTTTTCCAGGCCTATTTTGGGTGTACAAATAAGACTATTTAATAATTCGATGTAAAATTTGTTTCACTCTTGGACTGTCAAATTATTTTTCTCTAAAATCACTTGACCTTTGCCTCAAAAGTCAAATGAATGTGCCCTGATCTGTGGATGACAAGTTTATTGTTTGATTTAAATTATGAATTTATTAACGAGAGCTTCGCTTTTAGCCCTGGCTAAATCTATATATTATAATTCTTAATGTTATATAGTGCTTAATTCTTACTTCAAATATTTCTGCAAATAATGTACTTATTTTTTTAAAATATTATTATTATTGTTATTATTATTATTATTATTATTATTATTAGTATGACCATCATAATATGTTTTTTGAGGTAATGAGGAGTCAAGCACGTCACAATTGCCCAGCGTATGTCTCCTTCCTCCGGATACTGGTTTATGCAAGGCTCTCATCCCACGATATTACTTTGATTCGAGAACCGGTCGGTGCCAGACATTCAACTATGGTGGTTGCGGAGGAAATATGAACAATTTCAAAGACAAGAAGAGCTGCGAGGAAAAATGTCTCGGTGAGAAGATTTGCAGTAATTTTCCGCTTCCTTTTCTTTTTCTTCTTCTTCTTCTTCATCGATATTCTTCTAGCTAGATTTGTTGTGCACAGTCTTAAGCATCCTTTAATACAAAGATCAAAATTTCTATCATGATTACCTCCATTTAAACGGGGTTTCAAGTAAAATGGAATACGTTAAATTTATTGAAAATGGCGGATCCAAGATGGCGGATGGTTCCAGTTCCTTCTTATATAATGAATAACGTCATAGTGACATCACTGTTATTGTTAAAGGTTATCAATGTGTTAGTTAACTTTTTGATGTTATCAAACTTCTTACTATATTTAAGTAATTTTCCCCTTATGGTTACTTTGAGAGGAATTAGGATTCGCCAAGAAATTGAACAATGGGACGTCATAATCACGTCAAATTACGTCATTGTGTCAATGACCTTATGCCTAGATATTGGAAATGATGAGTACATTATTCTGGGTAATTTTGGTGGCGTATTATCCGAAGCAAAAAAATAGAAAAAGAAAAAAAAAGGCCTGAATAGGGTTATTTAACATATTTTTTGAGAAAGCCTTTGCGTTTAGTTTTACTTGTACGTAACAGCAGCACTTTTATCGGTTGATTTTGTTGAATTGATGGTACTGTTTGAGCTTATTAACTAGGTTCTTTAAACAAAAAAAAACAAAAAAACGAACAGGTAGGCGATATAATATTTCCAAACGTCCTGCGAACTCGGCGAGATGATTATACATTCACCTTTCAAATTGGTATGTGACTGTGATAGTAAGCAAATCAGGGTTACAGCTTTAAAGGTTAGCTCAGCAAATGTCAGGTTATTGTAAAAGTACACCCCTTGCGAGCGAGATGTTTATAATAACATTTACAGGAGGTATAGACATAATCGCACAACAGGATTCTTATCTTATACATATTAGGGAGCTTCTCCTGAGTTGAACGATTTAGAAAAAATGGCTTCAAGTTCTTTGATAGTTGTTGGTTTTAGTAAGAGTAATTTTTTTCATTAATTCTTTTACCTAATGTGGGATGGAGAGAGGAAGATGTTCTGGATATTTTGTTGGCGCAACTCGAAACATTGTTGATAAAATACTGCCGGAAAAACTGTTTGCTATTTCGCGAAGGTACGACAATTATCCATTTGATTTAGGTTTTAGGCTGCAGACATTTACCTCTATTAAAATATTGTCGTTATAAGCTCTCGTGTGTTTTTAAACTTTTTTGTTCTGTATATCTTTCTTCTTCTTCTTCTTCTTCTTCTTCTTTTTCATTATAACGTCTTTTTGCAAATCGAATTTTTTCCTATAGATCCTTCAACTCACGTGGTCAGCAGCTGTGCAAATTTATTGTAACAAAATATTTTTTTTACACACACACACAAAAAAGTTCAATTCCTAAAGGATTTTTTAGTAGGCCGAGATGGCGGTTGTTCCACTTTTCTGATTAGGCCCTATCATTCCAACATCCGACGCAGCTAACTGCACATTTGATGTTTGACTAGTTCGATACCCGTCTGCAGAGACGGTCACACGTTACAAAAACACCTTGATGGCTTTTTGAATGATGCAATGTCTTTGTTTTGCTTGCCCTACTGCGTCGTTTGCTACTCAACAAGGTGTTTTGCATTTGACCGTTCCTCTGAAAAAAGGCGCATGGACGTTTCATCTCAATAAGACTATTTAGCAACGATAATAATAACAATAATAATAATAAGCGGCCAAGATATAAAGATCCTGGAAAACGTGCTCGAGATGATTCGCGAATGTTTGAAAACATTGAAGAGGCGAGCGGGTTTTGGAGAAAGCTGTGGGAAGAGAGGGGGACTGGGAATAAGAACGCGGCCTGGTTGCAGGAAGTAAAGCTCGCGATCCACGAGCAAGTACCACTACCGACAGGCGACGAATGGGCTCTCGAAGTAGCGGAAGCGGTCAAAGTCCTGTCCAAGAAGCGCAACTGGAGTGCGCCAGGGCCTGATAAAATCACTAACTTTTGGTGGAAACGTGCTAGCACCCTGCACGAGGGTGTGGTTGAGAGCTTCAAAGAAGTTTCTAAGAGCGACGAAGATTACCCCGAGTGGTTTTCTGAAGGGAAAACCTCCCTCATTCCGAAAGAAGGCGAGTTCCTCAGTGAAAATCAAAGACCTATTACTTGTCTGAATAACATGTATAAGTGGTTTACATCTTGCCTCCTGGCACCCATGGACCAACACCTTGAACATTATGGCCTGATGGAAGGCCAGCAAAGAGGAGCGAAATCAGGGTGTTTCGGTACGATGGATAATTTGCTAATCGATAGAGCAGTAATGCTGGATTGTCACAGAGGCAAACGGAATTTAAGTATGGCATGGATTGACGTGCGCAAAGCCTACGACTCCGTCGATCATGATTGGTTATGCGCAATGACTGACGTACACAGGCTTCCCGTCTGGCTGGGTGAGGTTATACGCAAGTTGTGTGCGAGCTGGAATACTAAAGTAGTAGCTACAACAAGGCAAGGGCGAGAGACTTCTAGAAAAATAAGGTTCATGAAGGGTCTACCCCAGGGGGACGCTTCGTGTCCTAGACTGTTTACACTGTGTCTGAACCCTGTAGCGTGGCGCCTGCGGGCAACAGAGGGATACCGGTTATCCAAGCCTATAGGAGTCAAAGTCACCGATCTCCTGTATATCGACGACCTCAAGGTTTTTGCTGCCTCCGAGAGCGAGCTGAATCGAGTGCTGAAAGAGACTAGAGGAGCGATGCAATATCGGCCTCCACTGGAATCAGAAAAAGTGCTCAGTGGTACACGTGAAGAGGGGAGCCCAAGTGCTAGACGAGTCTGGTATGAGGATGGACGAGACAACTACCATCACGGCTCATGGGGAAGGAAAACACTACAAATTCCTGGGGGTGCTAGAGAACGTTCGACAGGATGAACGGCTGGCTCTAGCCTGCGCGGCTAAAGAGTATCTACGCAGGATATCTATTATATGGTCCAGCCCCCTGTCTGATTGTAACCGTGTGCAGGCATCTAATCAGTATGCACTCCCGGTCCTGCGGTACCTAATGTGGACACAGCATTGGCCTCTATCAGAGTTAAGAGATGTGGACAGAGCAGCTCGGAAGATCATAGTTGAGAACGGTGGCAAGCACCCAGCTAGCCTGACCTCTTTGTTATATCTACCGAGGGAGAAAGGGGGTAGAGGCCTGCGATCAGTCGAACACGAGTACAAGATCACTAAAATCAAATCGCTACTGAAACTGTATCAGAACCCGGACCCGACTGTGGAAGCAGTTAGAGAATTTGAAGAACACGCCATGGCATCAGGCCACCAGTCGCTCGTAAAGGAAGCAGCTAAGTACGCTGAAGAACTCAACATCACCCTTCAGCTTGATACCCTAAATCCCGTGTGTGTTACAACAGATGGAAAGGTGGTAACTGCAGCAAGAGCTGGGAATCTGTTGAAGCAATCTCAAGAGAAGCAGTTCTTGGAGAGCGCTAAAGACAAAAAGTGGCAAGGAAAGTTATTCCGTATCAGATGGGAAGATGAGAGCCTAAGCACAGCCAGCTGCTTTGCATGGTTAAAGGTTGGGCTACATGCCCCACACATACCATCGCGGGCATGTATGAACTGTATGAGCAGTTGTTACCTACGAAGCTCTACACAAAGGAGAAGACGCAAACCTCCACCGGCGGCGAAGTTCTGTGCAGGTTATGTGGGAAGGTAGCTGAGAGCGTTGCACATGTACTGGCTGGATGTTCCTCCCTGGCACAAACCAAGTACCTATACAGGCATAATGCAGCTTTGAAGATTCTGTTTTTTGAGATCCTGCGAGAGCATGGGTTAATGGAAGAGGTTCCACCATGGTACTTACCGGTGATGCCAAAACCAGCCTACCAGAACACCACGAGTGAGGCGTTTTGGGATATTCCCATCTATGCAGAGCACAACGAAGTTAGAGCAAATCGGATCGACGCGCGACTTGTCAACCACGAGAGGAAAGAAGTCTGCACAATTGAAATGAGCTGCCCATGGATTGAGAGTAGAGCTAAGAAAGATGAGGAAAAGACACTCAAGTATGGGCCCATGATGTGGGAGCTGAAGCAGAGATACAATGGTTACAGGGTTGAACAGTTCAACGTAATAATTGACGTACTGGGGGGTTACTCTAAACACCTAGAGAAGTCGGTGAGGAAGCTACTTGGAGCGAGAGCACGGAGCGTACTTGAGCGAATGCAGAAGTCGGTCATCTCAAACACTTTAAACATTGCCAGAACATTTAAGATAAATATTTAGTTAGGGCGCTATGGACTTCAGTTTTTAGGTTTTTGTTTTTTTCTAGAAATCTAGAAACACAAGCTTGCTGACGTTTTTATTTAGATTTTTAGAACATTAGAGTGTGATATTATTATAAATATGTTTTTAGTAGAGATAGCGAAGGTTTTACAGAGTATCAGAATTTAATAATATTCTAAATTGGCTTTTTAAGTAGAGAGATTTATATCACTATGTATAAGCTTTTAGTAGAGATAGCGAAGGTTTTACAGAGTATCAGAATTTAATAATATTCTAAATTGGCTTTTTAAGTAGAGAGATTCATATCACTATGTATTTTAGGATTGTATTAGGTTTCGTATCGACCTTTTTTTACTTCTAAGTATAGCTTCTCAAGTGGTGTAGGTTACGCTATGCGCCCTATACTACTCATAATGTGGACAGCATTCCAAAGTTTCATACTGCGACATAATAATAATAATTTATGAACTTATTGTGCTTAGCTTAAAATGAGAATGATCAGCTGCGCATTACAACTACATTACTTTAAAAGAAACAATAAAAGATAATGCATTAAAAAATAAAAAAAGAATATATATGCATGCAAGTAAGAACTGAATATAAAATTGCTCACCAATATAAATTTTTAAAAAGATAAGTCTTAAAATGCGCCTTAAAACTGTTCACATTAGTAATCGTACGAATTTCTTTTGGAAGAGAGTTCCAGAGCCTTGGCGCTGCTACCATAAAAGTTCTATCACATAACATCTTCGATCGACCAGCTGGCATAGAAAGTAAAATACTATCTGAAGATCTAAGGTTATATAAGGACGATAAAAATGTTAGTAAATCGCATAGATATTTAGGAGCAAGTCCGTGAATTGCTTTGAACGTAAAAAGCAGTATCTTAAATTCTATCCGGGCTTTAACAGGAAGCCAATGCAGACCACGAAGAAGGGCAGAGATGTGGAAAAACGTAGAGGCATTACAAACTAGCCTGGCTGAGGCATTCAAAACTCTCTGCAATTTGTTAAGCTGGTAGTTGGGCAGCCCATACAAAAGACTGTTACAATAATCAACACGAGATGTAATAAATGCATGGACAAGCATTTCCGTTGATTCTCGAGACAAATACTTGCGAATGCGTTTGATATTATGCAAATGGTAAAAGGCAACACCACATAACTTGCTAATATGAGTTGACATAGTAAGCTGCTCATTAAACCATGAGCCTAGGTTTCTAGCTACTGTTACAGTCGACCCATTCCTAATGAAATTGATGTTAACCTTGGCCAGCTGCTGCCTAGTACCTATTATTAAAAATTCTGTTTTATCATCGTTTAACATAAAATTATCTGAAATCATCCAACTCCTAATGTCAATGATACAGTCAGTCATGGACTTGATGGAAAAAATCAGCATTCGCAGATCGATTGGGGCTGAATGATACATACAACTGTGTATCGTCCGCGTAGCAGTGAATTTGTGGGAGGTGGCGTTCAACGATCTGAAACAGTTTGCGCGTGTAGATAGTGAAAAGCAAGGAGCCCAAACATGATCCTTGAGGAACACCTTGTTTCAAAGGAAACTGAACTGAGAGACCACCATTTACAGAGACACGCTTGAACCGGTCAGATAGATACGATTTAAACCAGGCAAGCGCATTGTCAGTTATTCCCAAATCAGACTCAAGACGACCAATCAGCTTATCATGATGTATCGTGTCAAGAGCTGCACTTAAATCTAATAATACAAGCAAGGTGACATGTTGCTCATCCATAGACATCAAAATATCATTCTTAACTTTACGTAAGGCCGTCTCCTTGCTGTGTTGCTGTTTATACGCCGATTGAAGAAGAGAATGTAAATTGTTGGCAGTCAGATGCTCCATAAACTGCTTAGCCCCAGCCCTCTCCGACAATTTAGAAATATAAGAGAGGTTACTGACTGGACGGAAATTTTTGAACGCAAAGTCCAAACCAGGTTTCTTGAGACATGGTAACGCAAGCGCCTCTTTCCAGGCCTCAGCGAATCGACCGGTGTCAAAAGAGAGGTTGATCAGCTTCGTGATAACTGGCAATAGAACATACAGCAACTTGAGAGCAATCGGAGTGGGAATGGGTTCGAGTTGACAAGATTTACCCCCTGCTCTACTAATCAACATGCGCATTTGTTCTTGAGAGAGAGTCCTGAAACCGGTAAACTGTTCTTTCAGGCAAGTAATGTCAGTAGCAGGTAGAGATGGCACGGATGGTGTAGATAAATTAGCCAAAGACGCGTTTATATTCTCAATCTTCTGTGCAAAGAAATTTCCAAAATCATTGGCAAGCTTAACAGTGTCAACACGAGGAAACGACGCAGTGTTGGTGTCACACAACAGGGACTTTGTAACATTAAACAGTTACCTGATATGATATTGAATGAGGCTGAGTAGGATGTGAAGAATTATGTAGATCGAGAAGACTGTTATCCACTAAGGCAAAGGCCGAGGTGCATGCATAACAGCCTCGACAGAGACCGACATAATTCTTCATATCATACGAAAGAACAAAAGAAAAACAAAAATTACCTGAGATGAAAAATTAATTACAACATACATATATTCTAATGGGCCTTATTAAAAAAAACAATCAAACAAACAAAAAAAACAGTTAACTTTGTTTCCCTCCCAAAGCAGCAGCAGCTGCTAAGATAAATTGAAAACAATCATAATGCAGTATGTATTTAATTGAGGGAAAATAAAGAGGACTTTGGTTCTTCTTAATAAGGCTTACGATCTTAGCCACTTGTTTTCATTGGAGCTCCCTTGTGATAATCAATTGCCTTGAACTTGAAAAAGCATCGAGACATACATGTCGTGGTTCAATTAGTTTATCCTTGCTTTAAATCCTTTTTTTTTTGGGGTATGGTAATATATGATGATGAGTTTGAAACAAAAGAAAATAGAATTTGAACCAAGGATGACATTAATCAGAAAATATATGTTACTGGACTAAAAGATACATTATCTCTTGATTGCTGTCCACGAAAAAATGTTAAACTCCATATGAGCTCCTCTAATGTGTATTTTACTTTTTTTTATTTATTTATTAAAGGTGGCGCTACAAAGATTTTGTTGAAGAATCGAGTTCAGACGCCAAAATATTTCTGGAAAGCTGTTTGCGACCCTACGGAAAAGGAGTCCGTTTTGTTTTATGCTGAAAACCCTGTTGGAATCGTGGACAGAAAAAGACGCCGCGGATGTAATGGAGCTGAGCAAACAATGTCAAAAGGCGTAATTGAATGCACAAGTATTAGTGCTGCTAAAAGGGAATTTGCAGTGCCGAATTTCAATGCAAACAATTGTCGTCCGTCCGCCACAGGTTTAAAAGACTTAACCTCGATTCTAACCGGTTTTGTGCGTTAATACATTGATTTTAACAGAAGTGTATTCAGTTATGGTTGATTCGACATTGAAACTACGCAATAGCATTAGAAATAAACTGTAATTCATTAGAACTAGCTTTAAAATAAACACCTTTTATTAAATGCTGTTGTTTTCTTGAGACCTTTTCATGACCCTTTTCGTATTTTAGTTAGCAGTTTGAATCGGAACGAATTCAACGTAGGTTTGTTTGTTTTGGCTTTGTTTTATTCTGAATCACTAAATAGCGAAAGTAGCGGGCGAATATTATATACTTTGGCCAGCAAGCAAGGTCTCCATTTCGTTTATCGAGGCGAAGAGAGATAATATCCATGTCGATTGTCGAGGTGAAGGGAGCTAAGAGAAATTGCAAGAGCGGGGGGCGAGAAAAAGGATAGCTCTCCCTTTCTTTTCCTGCCCTCGCTCACGTGTGATTTCTCTACACATATCCTCCAAATGTAGACTTTGCGGGATAGAAATGTTCAAATCTTTATCACTGTCGAAGATGGTTGAATCATCATCCTTCACCTCAAGAGGCTTTCGTGTTTTATTCTGACAAGTCATGATTTAGCAATCATCTTTTGACCCTCGCACGCAAAAGGCGTTTGGGGGTGAGGGGATTTTGGTGTTTGATGGAACCCCTCCATTGTTTTTCATATGTTGCAGTATTTCGAAAAGATTTTACCTTAAGTGGAAAGCCGTTGATTTTCTCGACAATATTAGGTTTATTTTATGGGTGGTGGCGCTGCGCGAGGCATGTGACGTCTGCAAACATGGTTGCCATCTTGGCTACCATCTTGGATTTCACCAAGAATTAGAGATCAGGTTAAAACGGCAAGAATTGGTGATTGTTTGTTCTTTCAATGTAAAACAACTCTAAAATAAGTACTTTGCTTTATTTCATCCGTAAGCTTTACTTTTGTCGTTCAAGAAGCTGAAAAACATGGATTTAGAATATAATAAAGTTGCACTTAGACAGTGGTGAGAAACGGGTTAGTTTTCAGGATCGCAAGGAAGAAAATGCACTAAAATTTCCTGGCATCGAAATATGATATTAAGCAGTCTTCTGACGCTATTTAAGGTTTAATGTGAGTTATTTAGAATTTTTTTATTCAACATTTTATCACGACTATTGAAAATATTAGCCTTTGAAATATATTTGCTTTTTTTTTAATTCATCAAACATACAAAATTTTTTACTTGTCACGGAGGTTATTTGCTAAACACCACTCTTTAAGGTCCTAGTGTCGGATTTTCAGTAAATAAGGGCTAGATCGCGCAAAATTCGGATTTTATCAATTTCAAAGTTTTTCATTTACTGATGTCATAGTGATATCGATTTAACTAAAAACATTTTGACAAACTCCAATTCATAGTCAATCACTGGTGAAAATTTCGTAGCGATCGGACAAGGATAAAATCACTTTTAAGGAGATTGAAAAACATCGGTATAGTCTTCCCAAAACTGTATAGAAACACTTTAAATCCTCTATGTATGAGAAGAACACTAGGTCGTTTTTAATTGGCCTGGATACAGTTGGGTTCTTTTACCTCGTATTGCGTCAATGGAACAAAATTCTGATCGTTATCATAGGATTGCGTTAGGCCGAGGTCTTATGACCTTAATCCATGTTATACTTAGTGAGGCTGAAGAATACCATGTGACACAAAAGTGGTTCTTTATAATTAATCAGAATAGTTTACAGAATTTTTCCTAGGGTGGGAAATTTTTTTTGCACGAGTTAATTGATGTACAACAGAAACCAAGGCTAGGAGTCAGAGCGCAAGGACATTAATGCAGCGAAGCTGAACTTTGATTATATATAATTTATATGTTGGTCAACTAGCCGTCTACATAGATGTAAGCTTATGAGTGTATTGAATTAGACATTGAAAAGGTCAATTTCGGCTTTTACCAAAAAACATAATAAGTCAGAGAAAAAACTGCGGACGAGTTAATGGGGACGTTACTTCCTCTTTACTTTCTTTAGCTTCGAAATAACAACCTACTAACTTGCCTCCCATTTCTTGGGCCCTGTGCGAAGTTTAAATGACTCAGGGGTAAAGAAAAACAAGGGTCTTGAAAAGTCTCTATATTATTCTGCTAGAATTGTTAAATGCTCACAAGGTCAACATTTGCACCCTTGCCTCCTCCTTACATTGTTCTTATGGTTATATATCATCTATTCATTGTTCCCGATTATTGGCCGCTTTCACCTTTCCCTTCCTATCAGGATTGGTACTGGAGGAGGAAAAAAAAAAAAAGTAAGTGGGTAATCCACTATGATCCAAAAATCTCGCGAAAAGCGGAAAGCATTATTCCACTGTTGCTACTCTTTAAGTCCAGCCCTCAGTCCTTCCCTCCACCTACCCCACAGTCCCCCCCGTAATGGTAGATGTTCATCTGACTTCAACTGTTCCCCCACTCACTGATACACAATTATGTGCACTACTTAAAAACTAGCAAACCTAATGTTGTAAGCTGTTGCGTGGGTGTTAGATGACTGGTAAATCAATAACCATCACTATGTACTACCTTCTTCCCTTTTCAGTTGATGAATAGCTAGAGAATGAAAATTTTGACTGCTTCCCTTGTGTTTCCAACATGCGTTATCATCTGCAGTGCCTCATTCAGTTATGCAGTAATTAAAAGAACTGCATGAGTCAGTCCTTGCAGCTATCGTACAATTTGTACATTGGTGGAACTTGTTTCGGGTGTTTTGGAGTGGGGCTACTTTTCCTGCGCTTCCCTTATTTTCACTTGGTCTGATATAATTTCAGGTTTGCCCTTAATTCAGTTACTGTTCTATTGTTCGTAATTATTTATCAATGTGATAATTGTCTGTCTTTAGTTGACTCTACGGAAAGGAATGTGTTTATTTTTAATAACATTTTATGAATTCGTCTGTGGAACCTGCTTCCTCATTTCTCACGAGAAATTCGATGAATATAAAGGATGAACCGTAATCCGTACGTTTTGGGTCCTCGAACTCGGCTTTTTAAGGGGAAAAGGGAAAGTAAGTCCCCGTAGGACTATCTAAAAATACTGACCAATACCAGAAGTAATAAAAAAGCTCGTTATAATGGGCGATAAGAACTACTAAATGGTAAGCGACTTGAATAAACTGCTAACATGGAGATGAAGATGTTTGTTGTTTTATATTTTCATTGATTTTGAAGCATTTACGGCATCCAGAGCCCCAAAAGGCGAGAAAGGTAAGGGACTGATATTGACAATAAGCTTAGAGGTAATGGTGAACGTAAGAAAGTCTCGATATTACCTCCGTTTACTTAATCTGTATTAATAGGTGCCTTTCTTGCATACTTTTAGTGAATGCGAATGATGAAGGGATGGACCATACCAGTTGTTTGTCATGTTTTTATTCGTAATCAATATCCTTCATCTATTTTAAGAAATATAAGCAAATAAATGCGGACCAAAATGTGGTTTAACATGAAGCTTGTGTGTTTTTTTATAATGATTTCCAAGTAGCATCAAGCCAAACCATTTTGCAACACTTTAGTTTTTGGTTTCATTTAGCGTTAGCTATATAGGAGAAAAAAAAAAAAACATTCCATTGCTTTCTTTTTTGCCATTACTTTCACTTGCCGCATGATTACTTTTTTCTCTGTGCCTTTGGTTTTATTATTAAACTCCTTAGATATATATATATATAACTATATATATATATATATATATATATATATATATATATATATATATATATATATATATTTATATATATAGATATAGATATAGATATAGATCTAGATCTAGATACTGAATAAATTATGTAAATCAGTCTAGTATATAAGTAATGGTAAAGTTATTCTCATTAAAATCCCCTGATGAGTGGGCAACCACGAAACAGGCTTGTAGGGATACTTATGTAGTTACTTGTTTTCTTCCGTCAACCATACGTATACTCGCTCTACTTTATGTATTGAGCACTGTTTTACGGATTTCAAGTTCAAACCTCTTATACTGCTCCGAGTCCACCTTGTTGAGCACTCTACGAGAATCCGCAATATGGAAAAATTCAATCTCGACTACTCCACCAAGAATATTCCCTTACCATCACGCAACGACTATCTCCAACGACTAATCGAAAAGACCGAGCAGTTCCTACGCAGAATGCGCTGGAAAGCCCACTTCTTTCTAAACCCAAGCACGTCTTCGACAACCAGGGAAAACTACGGCTTCAAATCGACTAAGAACCCTCCTCCTATTGAAGAACTAAAGGACTTCGAGGATGACATGTGTAAGATGATACAGTCTGTAAAATTTAAGCAAGTGAACAACCCTTTCCTCAACAAGCTAAAAGAAGACACCGATCGCATCAAAAACGAACCAAAGCTACTGATCCCGGCAGATAAAACTACTAACTTCTACAAACTCGAGCCAGCGACATACAACGATTTACTAGAGAAAAACGTAACGAAATCCTACAAAAAAGCCCTACCGACCACAACACGAGCAATCCATAAAACAAACAAAGACATCGCGACAAAGCTTGAAATCGATGACAGAGTGGACACTACGGCCGACAAAGACGCATTTATAACACTTAAAGATCACAAACCGAACTTCGCAAACAAACCGACATGCCGACTTATCAACCCAACAAAATCTGAAATAGGCAAAGTTAGCAAACAGATCCTTGACCGCATCAACAACAGCATCGCGAATAAATACGACCTCAACCAATGGAAAAACACCTCAGCGGTTATCAACTGGTTCCGATCCATCGACAATAAACATAACTCCAGCTTTATCTGTTTCGACATCGAAGAATTCTACCCATCCATCAGCCTAGACCTCCTGAACAAAGCACTCGATTTCGCATCTGATTATGACAACATCACCGCTGACGAAAAGAAAATAATTATTCACGCTAAAAGCTCAATCTTAATTTACAAGCAACAACCCTGGCAAAAGAAAAGCGACACTACATTCGACGTAACTATGGGAAGCTACGACGGCGCTGAAACATGTGAACTTGTCGGTAGCTTCCTCCTTTCACA